GGGCAAGAGCCACCATGCCTGGCCAGAGTGTTAGTATTGATATGTGGGATGCTGTTCTGTTCATCTTGTTGGATGATACCTTATTGTTTTGTTTTACCCCTTGTGCTATTATTTTATAAGAGCTGTGAGCTTTACCTTTTGGATATTTTTACACTGGTTAATATCTATCATGCTGTTCCATGTATAATGCACTTTTGAGCATTTCCTGTTGGGCAGGTTTATTAGAGCCAAAGTTCCTTAGTGTTTGCTTGATCTGAAAAAGTCTTTATTTTTCCATCCTTTATGAAACTTAGTTTTGCAGGATCCAGAATTCTTGGCTGCCAGTTTTTCTGTTTAAGAAGTCCAAAAATGTGGTCCCAATCCCTTGTGGTTGGTAAGGTCTCAGCTGAAAAATCTGCTGGTAGCCCGATAGGTTTTCCTTTTTAGGTTAGTTTTTGCTTTCATCTTCTAACTTGTAGAATTTTCTCCTGTATTTTGACTTTGGCCTGGTTCATGACTATGTGTCTTGGAGATGTCCTATTTGCTATGAATCTTATCAGTGTTCAGTGACCATCTTACAGGAGGATTTCTGAATCTGTGGTGATGCCAGGGAAGTTCTCCTCAATAATTCCCTCAAGTAGGTTTTCTATGCTTTTCTTTATTTTTCTTATTCTCCTCAGAGAGACCTATACTTCTTATATTGGCCCACTTTGCATAGACCCACACTACTCTGAGTGATTGTTCATTCTTCTTTATTCTTTTTTTGCATCTTTGAGTCACTGGGTTAGTTTGAAAGCGTTGTCTTCAAGCTCCGAGATTCTTTCTTCTCTGTGGTCTACTCTAGCCTGTTATTGATGCTTTCTGCTGGATTTTGAAATTCCCTAAATTACTCTTTCGTTTCTTTAAGTTCTGTCATATTCTTTTGTTATATTGTCTATCGCTTTAGTGCGTTTTTATTTTTTTCATTTATGTCCTGAAACTTCTTTTTTTGGCTTCTTTGTGTTGATTTTCAACTTTCTCTCCAATCACATTCATCTTATTTCCCATCCATATTCTGAACTTTGACATTTTGACAATTTCCTTTAGGTTGGGGTCTATTGCTGAATACCTATTATGATACTTTGGGAGTGTCAAAATAACTTGTCTTCTCATATTTCCATAGTTCTTGTTCTGCTTCCTTCTCATCTGATATCTCTTCTCTGAGCACAGGACAGATAAGCTTTCAGTGTACCTGTTGTCCTCTGCTGGGAACTCTCCTATTTCGAACTAAGAAATAGAGGTCTCTGGATGGCTCACTTTTGTCCTACTCTGGAGGATTGACCTGGCATGAGTCGTGCAGATGCCCTGTGAATGTTTAATACTCCTGCTCTCCTACATATCCCAATTCACCATTTTCCTATATTTGTTACTTGCCATCCTCACGTTGCAGAGTGAGTGAATGCCCCACCTCATTCTGCCAGCAGCAACCATGGTCATCCCAAGCCAGGTTGAGAGCTATTAAAGCTTTTCATCCTTTTTAAAAAA